TTTCCAGGAGAATCTGCTCCAAGATTTAGCCGGGCACAGAGGTGACATTGACTGGTCTGTAGTTTCCCTGGTCTTCTACCTTCCCCTTCTTGAAAATGCGGGTTATATTATCCTTTTTCCAGTTATCAGGAACTTCACTTGACTGCCATGATTTTTCAGATATGATGGCAAGTGGCTTAGCAACTGAGCAACTTCATTTGCCAGCTCCTTCAGGACCCGTGGATGGATTTCATCAGGTCTCATGGACTTGTGCACGTTCAGGTTCTTAAGGTGGTCTCGGAAAGGGGTTAGTATTCTTTATCACAGGAGCCGGAGTAAAATCTGCTCTTCCACTCTATCTGGGAAGCTGATCACCAAAGACTGGAGCAGCAACTTTCTTGAGAGTATCATCCTTGACCATTGTTCTCCTCTTCAATTCACTCACCTGTTCCTCCAGAATAGGTAGGTTTTCCATCCCACTTTCTCATGTCTTCTCCGTGATCCCACAGATAGAACCGTAGGATGGCTCATGGTGTGTACCTTTTTTATTTTTTGTTTTGGGCAGTAGGGCGCCTTCTGTTAATAGCTGAGATGTGGGTTGGTACACGTGGGGAGCTGGATAGATTGGACAGATTGTTTTTCAATTGTTTGATCTCCTGTGACAGTTTTTCCACAGCTGAAATGATGGAAGAGGTGAGATTGTCTTTGAACTCTCAGAGTTGATGACTCACTTCATCCACTGTTGGTGGTGCTGCCTGATACCAGGTCAGTGATGCCAATGAGTGGGTATATGATGTCGGCTCACTCTGTGTAAGTTTCTGCCAGGAGTCGTGTACCTTTGACTTCCTCTGGATCTACGAGTGCATTCCTGGCATCTGGCCTATGACAGATCATCTCTAGAATGGCTGATTCCCTTAGGGACTGGATGCCTCTCTCTATCACAGTCCACTTGCAACACATAACACCATCCTGGTAGGAAACCCTTTCCTTCACAGCTGCCAGGAGCCGCCTCCAAAGGCTGAGGGCTCATTTCTATTTTGCATTTGCTTTGTCAATTCCCCCTTTCTAGCAAGTGAGCCCAGCTTGGCTTCCCTACATTCTAGTTCATGACCCTCGGCCCCATTGTCCCAGCATCAGAGCAACCAGGCGACGAAGTGCTCACCTAGAAGACGGCTGAAATATTTTTGCATATTCTGTGTCTTGGTCAAGGTCCAGGATTGAGAAGTCACCTCTTCTTCCTCTTCCTCCGATTCCTCTGTTAATAATTCTTGTTCAGATGTCGCTTCTAGTTACGTGCATTGGGTATTCCTCTTTCTTCACAGCACAAATTGCACTTTGTGCCTCTCGTTTGCTTTTCCCCTTACTTATAGGGGCAATTGATAATTGGCACAGATTGGTCCTTTGGTTTAGCTGCAGTGTCTACTGCTGTGGCTGGAGTGGCTGCAGTGTCTGTCACTAGGGTTGGAGCAGCTACAGTGTCTTTTCACAGTGGTTGGAGTGGGTGCAGTGTCTGTCACTGGGGTTTGAGTGGGGCTATCATGGAATAAGCCCAGTCAGTAACTCAGAACCACGCAGCCACTTGCTCACTCCCTCCTTCATTCCCCCCCCAGCTCCCAGAGGCATGGTGGGGAAAATGAAAAGAGTGTAAATCCCATGGGTTGAGATAAGAGCAGCCCAGTAACTAAGGTACCATACAAAACTATTACTGCTGCTACCACCAATAATAATAATGATAAGGGAAATAACGAGGGGAGAGATACAAAACTAAAATGGGGAAAGGAAAAGAAAACAATAAACACAAGTGATGCACAATAAAGTTGCTCACCATCTGCTGACTGATGCCCAACCCGACCTGAGCAGCAATCTGGACCTTCGAGGTGACTCCCCCCCAGTTTATATACTGGGCATGATGTGCTGTGGTATGGAATACCCCTTTGGCTAGTTTGGGTCAGGGGTCCTGTCTCTTCTTTCTCCCATCTTTCCCTCCTCCCTGGCAGAGCATGAGGCTGAGAAAAGTCCTTGATCGGAGTAAACATTACTTAACACACTGATGTTTTTAGTTATTGCTATCAGCACTGTTCTCAGACTAAAGCTGAAAACAGAGCACTGCACCAGCTACTAAGAAGGAGAAAAATAACTGTTACAGCTGAACTCAGGACACCTGCTCTAGTGTGTCTCCTTCCAGCAGGGAAAATCTGCTCCAGCCTGTGCTCTCCACTGGCCATAGGTCCTTGAGGAAGTATTTACCTGCTCTGGCATGGGGTCTTCCACAGTGCTGCATTGTGGGTATCTGTTCCAGCATTGTCCTTTCCAAGGGCTGCAGAGAAGTACCTGCTCTACCATAGTGTCTCCACAGGCTGCAGGGGAATCTCGGCTCTGTTATCTGGAGCACCTCCTCCCCTTCCTTCACTGAACTGGTTGTTCACAGGGCTGCTTTTCACATTCTTTTCCCCTTCTTCTCTGCCTGTGTGGTGGTTTTGTCCTTTCCCTTAGGTGCCACCAGCATGGCTGAGAGGCTCAGTGGTGCTTTGTGGTGGGTCTGTTGGAACCACTTGCGTCTGGCATTGGAGTAGCCCCTGGCCTCTTCTCAGAGAGACCTCTCCACTGCCTGCTGTCTTCCCACTACCAAAACCTTGTTCTCTACACTCAGTAAAGCAAATCATTAAATATTTTATACATTGGCAAGTACTTGTGCATTTGTTCAGCTTTGTTTCTCTTCTATCTCAAAACAGGTTCTTCTATTTTACTGAAAATTCAGAACGTACTACTTCAGTATGAGCAGGTAATAAAACATGAAAAAAATAAGTATAGAGCTGTCTGGCGAGAAGTAAGGAAACTGGAAAGTGAAAAGAATGAGTCAAAATTAATAGCAGAGGAGACTCAAGATTTGAAATCCATATTGGCTCACCAAGAAGTGGAATGGAAAAGTGACATCCAAAGCCTTAAGTAGGTAACCTTGCATTCTGATAATGTGTTATCTTGTCAGTGTGCATATTCTAGAAGATGCTGATGGTACAGGCAATAGGATGAGAAGTTTCTAGTCTTTTGGGTTTGGGTTTTTTGAATCCCATGGGCAAGTTATGCTATAAAGGATGTGATGTTGGGGGAAGGAAATGCCTGGATCTTAAGTCCATGTAAAATCTTCTGGATGTTGTTTTAACTTTTTTTTTTTTTTTTTTTTTTTAATAGCAGGAGAAGAGAACAAGAGAGTATGGGAAAATGAAATTTCTGAGACAGATTTGAGATGTGTTTTTTCTTATTTTTGTCTTTGTAGCTGCTGCTGATGTATAATACTAGGAATTCTGGTAACTCCACAGAGTGCAATTCTGAACACAGTTTAGAGCATCTGTGCGCTTGCTTGCTTTTTTATGATAAAGGTCAAATTTGGGATTGCCCCTTTCCCCGTATTCCTGAGCTGAACCTGGGTAGTGAAGTTTCTAATCACTGTTCACATCACGTAGGACAGGAGTGGCCAGCAGTCACCATATGAAATCCAGAAAGGACAAATGCAAAGCCCTGCGCTTGGGAAGAAATATCCCCTGTTGATGATGTACCATAGAATGGCCTGGCTGGGGAGCTTGCTGAGCAGGCCCTGGCTGTCTCAATCGAGTCTCTGCCCAGCCTGTATTTGTGCTTGGGATGCTCCCAACCTGGGTGGAGGACCTGGCGCTTAGCCTTGTTAAACTTCATGAGGTTTGCACAGGCCCACCTCTTGAGCCTGTCAAGGTCCCTTTAGGTGGCATCCCTTCCCTCCAGTGTGTCAACTGCACCCACGCAGCTTGGTGTCATCAGCAGACTTGTTGAGGGTGCACTTGATTCCACTGTCCACGCTGCCAACAAAGATGTTAAACGGCACCGGTCCTAGTACCCACCCCCGAGGAACACCACTCGTCACTGGTCTCCACTGACTGGAACAATTTGAGTGTAACCATCTAGCCAATTCCTTATCCTCTGAGTAGTCATCTGTCAAATCCATCTCTCCAGTTTAGTGACTAGAATGTCATGTGGGACAGTGTCAAATGTTTTGCACAAGTCCAGGTAGATGAAGTCAGTCACTTTTCCCTTATCCACCAATGCCATAACCCCATCTTAGAAGGCCACCAAATTTGTCAGACCCAGTTTCCCCATAGTGAAGCCTTGTTGACTGTCACCTGTTACCTCCTTATTGTCCATGCAACTTAGCATAGTTTCCAGGAGGATCTGCTCCATGATCTTGCCAAGGTGAGACTGACTGGTCTGTAGTTCCTTGGGTCTTCTCTTTTTCCCTTTTTAAAAATGGGGGTGATGTTTCCCACTTTCCAGTCAGTGGGAACTTCACCGGACTACCACCACAACTCAAATATGATGGATAATGTCTCAGCCACTTTATCTGCCGGTTCCCTTGGGACCTGCAGATGAATCTCATCAGGTCCCATGAACTTGTGCACCTTCAGGTTCCTTAGATGGTCTCAAACCTGATTTTCTCCCACAGCAGTCAGTTCTTCATTCTCCCAGTCCCTGCTTTTGCCTACTGCGATTTGCGTGGTGTGGCTGGAACACTTGCAAGGGAGGACCAAAGCAAAAAACATCCCTGAGTACGTCGGCTTTCTTCAGATCCCAGGTGGTGAGGTCTCCCATTGCCTTCCAGAGAGGGCCCACATTTTTCCCTAATCTTCGTTTTATTGCTGACGTACCTATCAGTGGACTTAGCATAGTTTCCAGGAGGATCTGCTCCATGATCTTGCCAAGGTGAGACTGACTGGTCTGTAGTTCCTTGGGTCTTCTCTTTTTCCCTTTTTAAAAATGGGGGTGATGTTTCCCACTTTCCAGTCAGTGGGAACTTCACCGGACTACCACCACAACTCAAATATGATGGATAATGTCTCAGCCACTTTATCTGCCGGTTCCCTTGGGACCTGCAGATGAATCTCATCAGGTCCCATGAACTTGTGCACCTTCAGGTTCCTTAGATGGTCTCAAACCTGATTTTCTCCCACAGCAGTCAGTTCTTCATTCTCCCAGTCCCTGCTTTTGCCTACTGCGATTTGCGTGGTGTGGCTGGAACACTTGCAAGGGAGGACCAAAGCAAAAAACATCCCTGAGTACGTCGGCTTTCTTCAGATCCCAGGTGGTGAGGTCTCCCATTGCCTTCCAGAGAGGGCCCACATTTTTCCCTAATCTTCGTTTTATTGCTGACGTACCTATCAGTGGTTTATTTACGTGTCTTGTACACTGATGTCATGGATAATGGAATGAAGTTAGAATTCCTTAGAAAGTTAAAAATCACAGTGAAAATAGGAAATCAGAAAAGATTGTAGAAAATCTGAAAAGATTTAGTATTTTTATGGTTTGAGTTGTTTCTGCAAGTTCATAATGTGGAATATATACTTTCTACATCAGTGCTTTAGTTTCTCAAATATTCTGTTAATCCCAGATGTGCTTTGAAACAAGAGGAGGAAAAGATGCTCAGAATAGAGACATTATATGAGAAAACAAGAGAAGAACTCAGAAGGAAAGAAGATCAATATTGTAAAGAGATGGAGGAAAAACAGCAATTTGAATTACACTCGAAGAATTTAGAAATGGAGTTAATAACGCTGAGAAAGCTCTTGAGACAGGTATATTAAACAATGAGTTAAACACTTTCTGCTTCTTTTTTCATTGGCACTGTATTTGAGTATGCTTAAAGAAGGAGGTACTTTGTTGTTCATGGAAGAGACATTAGATAACTTGATGAATTTTGAGGACAGTTGAGATCATGTTGGTTCACAAGTAGTCTGTTAATCTTTTTCTTGTTTGTTCTTGTAATTTTTTTTTCTTTGCAAGTTCATAATTCCTTTTAATGATTCCTTTTCTCCTTTTTCAAAATTTAGGTTTCATTTGTATTTCAGGCAAAGTCTGACTGAGTTATTTTTCAAAATTAACTAAAAAAACATTCTGTATTTCTTCTTAATTTTTCAGAAGAAAATTAAAGTTTATTATTTATAAAAGGATTATAACTGAGGAAACAAAAATGTTTGTAAGAATACACTGGACAATGGGAAGATATTGCTAGCTCTGATTCTTCTCAAGATGCAAGCAGTTTAATTGTATTACTGTAGGTTGAAGAAGAGCGTGATGAAACACAGAGGCATCTCTCTCAGGAAAAGAGTGCCAGAGCCCTGCAAGAAGGAATTTTGAACAACCACCTTTGGAGGCAGAAGGAACTAGAAGAAGAAACAAGACGAACTATAGAAAAAAATTCAGAGGCAAGCAATTTTTTTTTTCTGATTAATTAAATTTCACCATATTTGTTCTAAAGCCATGAAAAATCTTATATAACATTTTCTGCTTCTTAATGGATTATTTACAGTTTTCCAATGTAACTCAACTGTGTAAATACCTTTCTTGTTTTCCCTCATGTCTTTAAAAGTTCTGGAAAACAGCGTCGGTCCTGTATGTACCTGAATTGCATGTTCAAGTAGGAAACAAATAGAAGACACTATTTATGCTGTTTCCTAAGCTATTTGTTATTTTTCATTTCATAGACATTTTATCATTAGTTTTTAAGGATTCTAACAGTTAAAACACCTAGCTACCTGCATTAAGATTGAACAGGAAGAAAGTTGATTGACGCTACTTGTGTTCTCACTTGTTTTTTTTTTTTTTTTCTTACTCCGTTATTAAACTAACTTACTTCAAGTGTGTCTTTCTTTTTGATCTCCACATACTAAAATTCTGTGAAGGAATATGAAGACTTTTCAGTGGTGGCCAGTGACAGGACAGAGAGCAATGGCCATAAACTGAAACACAGTAAATTTCATCTCAACATGGGGAAGAACTTCTTTACGTGGGTAGAGCACTGAACAGGCTGCTCAGGGAGGTTGTGGAGTCTCCATCTCTGGAGAACTTCAAAACCCACCTGGATGCATTCCTGTGTAACCTGCTCGAGGTGGCTCTGCCTTGGTGGGTGGGGTGGACTGGATGATCTCCAGAGGTCCCTTCCAATCCTAATGATGCTGTGATTCTGTGAATATCAGCAATAAATTAAACTCTCTGTAGGAGTTAGAATAATAAGAGGAGAAAAAACAATCATAAACACTGCATTTTTTAAAAAATAATAATTTTGAAAGGAGTTTACTGAACTTACTAAGAACGTGCAATGCTTGGAAGAATTATTTGTTCTTGGTTATGCTGGCCAACAGATGTAGGGTGAATATGCGGAAGAAAGTCAAATATATATAATAAAGAGGAAATATACAAGACTAGTGTGTTCCAGGGATGATTGATATGTATAGCTAACTTTTAGTAATACAAAAGGATAAATGTTAAGAAGTACAATTGTGAAGGAAAATACCCTTTTTACCCTTTTTTTTAACAGATTTGTAACACAGCTGAATTAACCTTAAAGCAAATATTTTAAAGGCATGCACATATAAGAAAGTATTGTCATTTTAAAAGCTTTATACTTGAGATAGTCTAATAGATGTTATTGTTTGGTTGCTGGTTTAAGAAATAAAAAAAAGGCATTGTATATTCAGGATGTTCATTTAGGGTTTAAGGGTATGTTACACTTCCATTGTGTGCATACATTGTATATGTGCATGGGTTCTTAGAACAGTTTATGTATTACTTCACGTTTCACTCTCATCTTTGAAGTTGTGCTTCAGTGTTAGAAATGTTAAAACACAGTTTAATGCTGAAGTGGTTTTGTAGATTTGTTTCCTAATTGGCTATTTATTCATGTTTCCTGACATTTAGGAATCTGACACTGAGAGAGAAAAGGATCTGTTGTACAAAAATCAGTTGCTACAAGATGAGATTGGTATGCTAAGACTAGAACTTGATCAAGTAAGACTTAGGCACCAGGAGGAAGAAGGAAAGTATTTAGAGGAAAATGAAGCCTTGAAAGAAAAAAATGAAGATCTCAAAAAGGAACTTAAACTAAATGAAGAAGCCTTAACACAAACAGTTTTTCAGTACAATGGACAGCTGAACTTATTAAAGACAGAATCTGCAGTGCTAACTTCCAAACTTGAGCAGACAAAAGAAAGCAAAGACAGACTAGAGACAGAAATTGAATCATTCCGTTCCCGCCTTACCACTGCTGCTCAAGAACTTGAGCGTCATCAGTCATCAAAATGTGATGTTGAACGAACATTTCAGAGAGAACGTGATGAGTGGCTTCGCTTGCAAGACAAGCTCCATCATGACCTCTCTGATGTGCGAGAAACCAATAAGAGCTTGTCTCAGCAGCTAAGTAAAACTGAAAGTAACGCTAATAGTCTAGAAAATGAGCTTCACCAGTTGAAACAAACACTCAGAGAAAAAGCACTGCTTTTGGAAATGACACAGAAAGAGTTAAGTCAAGCCCAGTGTCAGGCAAAGGAATGCGACCATGCTCGACAACTTGAAAAAGATCAAGTAAGCAAATTTATAATAAAGCAGGAATCCATGCAGGAGCGATTGGTCCAGCTTCAGAGTGAAAACCTTTTACTCCGTCAGCAACTGGAAGATATGCAGAACAAGGGGATCATCAAAGAAAAAATAGTGAATGATGTGCAGGACCGGTTTAATGATATTTTCAGTAAACTCAGAGCTGATACTGAAAAGCAAGTTTACCTAGTGGAAGAGAGAAACAAGGAATTAAATGCCAAGTGTACTGATTTAAGAGAACAAGTCTTTAAATACGAGACTGAGAAAGTAGAAAGAGAGGTAAAGTATACACTTAGAAAGAACAATTTAAAGTTTGTTAGTTCTTGAAGCTGTTTTATGTTTCTAAAATGTATCAGGTGTAAGTTATATGCATGGGGACCAAATAATGGTGATCTGTTCTGGTTTGTCATGTTTCACTTAGAACTGTGGAAGGTTTTGGGAAACAGGATATTGCTGCTCATATCTGAGCAGAGAATGGAAAAAAGTCTAAGCTTTTATCAAGAAAAGTGATTCTTCTCTAGAAAGTTTTGAACTCTTTCCTTAGTCGATTTTATGCCCTATAGAATGATTTTGTGTTTGATTTTTGTCTTTCACTGATGACACAAATAAGAGGAAGAACCATCCTATATGCGAGGTTTGAGAAATGAAGATGCAGACAAGTGAAGTGATGCAGATGGATTTGTTTTAAGCTCTTACAGAGGAAAAAAAATGATTTCTCCATAAGTTGCTACCAAAATAGTAGTCCAGGTGTTAATTTATGTATGTGTGTTGGGGTTCTAAGGGGCCTGCCTGTTCCTCGAGAAGGTAATTTCAGACAGTGACCTAAGCTTTCTTTTCTCTATTTTGTGATGTGTAGCCATATTTAAATGCATTCCTTGTTCATGGCTCTGTGAAAGACTAATTAACTGGACAGAAGATTCATTAGGACATCAGTTAAACTGTCATTCTGCAAATTCACACAGTACATTAGTATGAAACATGCTCCTATGCAGAGCGCTAACATCATTTTATGTTGCACACCCATACATGAACCAAGTGTTGCTCCTATTACTGCATGTAGGTGGCTTTTGTGAAGGAAAAAGAGTGGAAAAGAATAAAGGTGGAGGTAAGAGTGAGGTACAGGTAGACAGCTGAAAAAGCTGTAGGTAATGGGAGAATGAACTGTTATATATGTTCCTACGAGTAGGTAGTCTCTTCTCTATTGTTAAAATATTCTGCCAATTCCAGGTAGAGCAGTGATTTAAAAGTTGCCTTACCCATTTTGTTTAATCTTCTTTTACTTTCTGGAAGATAAGAACTATGCACATTCAATATTTAGACTCTTTGGTGTAAGTTTTGTCTCCCTTAATGGTTTAGGTAGTGATTTAAAATTACATTTCCTTCTTCATAATAATTCCAGAATCTCAGATAATCTCAGATAACCACCTTGTTGTTTATTTGTCAATTACCATAGAGGGAGGGAAGAACTTCAGAAGTACTGTCGGTCATTTTAATCTGTGAATTGCTTTGTATTCTTACACCAAAGTAACAGGTTCTTTTTGAAGGTATTTGTACACACATATGAACATAGATTTTCATTAATCTAATGTCAGTATAAACACAGTTTTTTCTCTAAAACGAAGGTGGTAGGAAGACTGCAGAAGAATGTGATTCAGCACATACTTAAAACATATCTTGAAAGAGCTTTCAGATACATGTATTTGTGTAATTATATTTCTATAATGGAGGAATAGAAAAAAGTGATCTAATACATAGCCCTGCCTTTGGTCATCTGATTAGTATCTGCAGTCAAATTACAGTTCTTAGAATAGATTTCTTTGAATGTTGTTAGAAAAAAATACATGATCGCAGTGTGTGCCTGTATGTTGTTCAGAGAAGAATAATATCTGAGCTGCCTTTATGTTTTGGGAAACAGAAGCTCTCATGAACAGCTGCTAATAGCTTGGAGGTGCTCAGCTGAGAGACGAAGAGAGGTCGTCATCTGTACAGATGCTTGCTGGTTGCAGGCAAAATTTCATACCTTTGAATTCAATCCTAAACCAGGTTTAATTATATAATAAGTTAAAGTAAAGGTTTATTTAATGTTCTTAAAACTTTCTTCATGCTCATTGAACTGTTTCATTAGGGAGTGGTCAGACAGCTGCAGCAGGAGCTTGCCGATGCTCTTAAAAAGCAATCTATGTCAGAAGCTTCGCTTGAAGTTACTACACGCTACCGCTGTGACCTGGAGGAGGACAAGCTGCGCTTGCAAAAGGAATTGGAAAAGGTTAACACCAAGGTACATAATGTGTGTAACTATATGAAAAAACTGAGGGTGCCTGATGAAGTTAGGAGTGAATGTTGTCCTAAAACCATAGGAAAAAACATCAACAGGATGGATTTAATGATGTCTGAATGAATTGCACTGTTTTGTAAACTTGGTGTCCATGTCTTTTGACATGAAGACACTATGTCCTTACGTAGACAAAGGTGTTTGTATTTGCTAAGGTGCTTTGCAGAATAAACTGATGTGTTGTATTTGGTTTTGGCAAGCATGTTTTCTGATTTCTGAGTAAGAGTAGAAATACTGGCCTGCTGCCTTTGGGTTTTTTTATGTTTTCTGGGCCTATCCCCTGCTCCCACCACCAGGTAACATGCCAATTCTGAAAACTTCTGTGACTTACTCTGCATTTATTTATTTCCTTCCTATAACCTTCTTTGGCCCTGCTTAAGGATTTCACATCTTTAAACAGCCTTCTTGAAAGTGAATTGTAAATTACTTTCTCAGGCAGGGACCATCTTTTGCAGTGTTATTTCTCAAAATTAAATCAACTTAAATCCCCTTAAGAGGGAGTCATGAAGTCACTTTAGAAGAAGGGTGAACTTTTTAATTCATGTTTTCAATGGAGCAAACTAGTGGTTTTTTTTAAAGAGTGTCACAAGTCACCAAGAGGGCAGGAGAGGCAATGTTGGTGCTTTGAACTGTGCTATAGGAAATCAGCGGAGATTTCCTATGGGAGATGCCTCGGATGGGAGAGGCCATGACGAAAGATGATGAAGCAACGCAGTTTGTGTTCATCTGCTAGTAGACGTGAAGGTGTGAAGGTACTCTTTGCGTAGAGGGTATGCGCAGATACATGCAGTACTTGAACTCTTCAGCAGCAGCTGACTTCTCTGTATAAAAACTAACCTGACTACTGTGGATTCTTCCTACGATTTCACAGATCCGGGAGCTGGAAGAACAGCAACTTCAGTCTGAGCGTTGTGTCCATGACTTGAAGGCTGTCTTGGATAATAAGGAAAGAGAAGTAGCAGCTTCTTCCCAGAAACTGCAGGACCTCCTATTGGCATCTTCTGGGACTAATGCTACTATCAAACAACTGGAAGAACACGTGCAACGGTAAGAGAATAACACAGGGAAGTAAGCTGCCTGTCGCGTTCTAGAACTGTGCGAAAACTGCAGGATAGTCTTATTGTATCACAGCGCAGGAAGTTGATACACTATTTTGAAGGACGCTTTTGGATTCGATTGCGTTATTTCATGCTGTTCTTTCTGAATTGGTGCTCTGGTGGATTCCCGTAATAAGACCTGTATTTCTTTCTAAGCCTTGAAATTGAAAACGCCAAATTGGAAGCCACAGTCCAGCAACAAAGAAGTAGGACCGAAGCCCTTCAGAGGGACCTGCAAGCCTCTGCCTCAGTAAGCTGATCATAAACTTCCCTTTTTGTGAGCTCCTGAGCCTAGTTACCTGTTTCTGTGGGGAAATTTTAAGATGAAGTTTTCCTGGTGAGCCTAGGGAAAACTCAGTTCATGAATATAGGCTGGGCGAGAGCCGCC